TATGGACGACATCCATAGTAATGATCAGCTTCTCTTGCCCTTGATACTGATGAGCTCGTATCACCTGTCAATGTACCTTTTAATTGTGTATTTAATGGTTCACAACCAGCTGGTAAATAATCAACTAATGCTATATGATATCGTCGTTGTGTTGTTGCCATTGTTAATATGACTTTAACTTTTTCACCTAATTTCAATTTCCATGTACCATCTGATTGTTTCTGAACATGTGATGAATCGTTGACTGCTGCATATGTTCGTTCAATTTTAAAACCATAATTAACTGCATTTAATTGTAAGCTTGATGAAGCATAATTCAATGCGATACGATAATATAAGCGGCCATTACCAACTTTTTGCATGATTAGATTCTTATTGTTGTCAATCGTATTGAATGATGATGTTGGCGACAAGATTGCTTTCATTGGAATATTCACTGTGTATGTGTCTGTAATTCGACCTTTATATTCAGAAAAAGAACAGAATACATATAATATTTTGAAACAATCTCGTCAGCATTTGAGGCATTTGCGGTATATTTTTCCCTTATTTATACTCTGAGGACTACAATCGGAGAAACGAAGTTTACGAAACTTAAAGTTTAATATGCAGCTGTTCGGAAACAAATAACAGTAATTTATGGGAGAAACAAGGTGGAATCCCATAAAGAGAGTTTGGAAGTAATCAAAAGATCTACGAAGGCAACTGTCCATTACAGAGACGTGTATCCTACTTTATTTCTAATTTAGCTAAAATATTCTTATATGATAGCGCGTTAGGGACAACTAATGATTACCTTTGTATTGATGTTGACCGCAATAATCACTATCAAGCCAAATATTCGTAACAAAGTCTGGTGTATCCGCTTCTTTCATGTGAAAATATTTTTCTAATGCAACTAATACAAAACAATTTTCTTGTGTTGATTTCCATGCACCTTTCACTTTATGTGCTTGTAAACCTTTGCATAATTTTGTACATAGACTTGACTTTGGATCAATATATAAAAATGACTCTAATAATACAGCATCTGTTCGTTGATTTGAATGTAACATGACCGACTGACCATCATCACCATATGATGTTATAAAATTAGCTGTTTCTGCTGTTTCACTTACTTTACCTTTTAAATGGTTGTATATTATTTCAACTGTTTGATCTTTATTATTATTTTCACCAGTGAATAGTGCTACTAATAGCCATCCTAATGCTTCTAAACTAAGTTTATCGAATCCACTCCGTTTAAATAATTGTGAAGCTTCACCAGCCACATTGCGACGATGTTTTGTTCTAACATATAGTGAATAACTTATTAAACTATATCGAGTTATTTCGGACCAATATTTACTATATGGTAGTTGATCAATTTCAGATTCTATATTTTCAACATATTTTAACGCATTACTTAGCAGACTCTCATTAACATCCAGTACCTGTAAAATAAAGCTGCTTTTTTTCAAATAAACAATTGACATTAAAAAAGGTTTCATGATGTAGTTTCTAAGTGGACAGCGTAATGGAGCTTTAAGTAGACAGAAACTTCTGGAACTTGAAATTAGACTCTACATACACAATCAAAGCTTATTTTCCCCACGTAGTCCTATTCTTACTATTCTGAACAGAGACTTCATATTGTTTGAACAATAGATTCTTATAACTTCAGGATGAAATAGAAACTCTGTAGTTGTGTTGATCAATAAAAACGTTCAGTTATACAATAAAAGTCTTACCTTTTTATTTATAACAACGGCTAAACAATGGGCAACATGCATACTCATATATGGATCAGCATAAGAGTCATTTCGATTTGTCCAGTAGCCGAAACCACCGTTCGAATATTGACGACCTTTTAGGATATTCATATCCGATTCTAATTTTGTTTTTAACACTGAGACATCAGGTAATTCTTTACAATGAAATGCTGCTAAAACATCCCATAACGCCTGTATACCTAATAATCTTGAACTTATTTGTTCCGTACATTCATATGGATATGTATACAATGAAATAATTGCATCTGTCAATGAAGCTAATGCTGTTGAACTTGTTGTTATTGATAAGTCGCCGAATTGTGGAATAACATCTGTTGGTGTCTTTATTGGTTGTAAAATCACTTCTTCTTCACGTATATCACCATATGTTGAAAGTGCTTCAGACGTTGCTGGCGTAAACACAGGTAAACTTAATTCGACTGAATCACTACACGATGCACATGTTTTATTATTATCGGTGGTAAGTAAAAACTGGAATCGAGCTGTACCAGAATGAATTGTTGAAACTGGAAATGTAACAACAACTCGTTTACTCGCTTGTAATACAATTGAATAACCAATTCCTCGTTGATTTGTTTCTGATGTTAATAATTTAGCGTTACTTGCTCTTAAGCCAACATGTAATGATAATGATAAATCAGTTTGATTTTGTAAAATAACTGAGAAATGAGCTGTATCACCATAATTAAGAAATCTTGGTGGTGATGGTCGAATCATAATTGGTAACTGAACAGTAAATGATGTTTCACCTAAACCATATTGCTTATCATTAGTTGCTATTGCCCATACACGATAGCGTGTTAGATTATCAGTTAATTTAACTTCAAATGCAATATGTCCTGATGAATCGGTGGTTGCTGATGGTATCCAACATACTAAGGGATTGAAGTTTGACCGAACCGCTATTTTCTGTTCATCATCCGAACCACTGCCGAGCAATGCATATTGCATATGCCTCATGCCTTCCTCGCTGTGATACCTATTTCCTTTTTGTATATCTTTCTTAAATTTTTCTATATCCTGACTATTGAACAGTAAACAACGATTTCTACCATGATATCGCCGTACCTTTGCCGATCGGTCAGGATAAAATATATTTAATGGACTCAGTAATGTGTAACCAGTTAATGATAAAACTGCTTCATCTACAACAATCAAACAAACTTCTGTGTTGCCCACGGCTGCATTATCCACATATTGTGTAACGTCAACATCTATATGAATAATAGATGATGGTGTAAACGTTTTATCTGTTTCTTTTGTACTAATTAAAACATTTAATTTATAAATATCTCTTGATACTTCTAATGATACTGAACCAGTAGCGATTGCTGGGCGATGTAGTGAATCAATCACTTTCGTTTCTCTTAGAATTGAACCTACTAATTCAGCATGAACTGTAAATCCTGGTATCCAATCTTTTGAGATTTTAAATTCAACAATCGCTGAATCTTTACCAGATTCTATCTGAAATTGTATTGGTTGTGAAACTTGACCATCGCAATCTAGTATAACCAAACCACTAGCTGGACTAAATGGTGCTCGTATTAATAATTCACAAATGTCATCTGGTTGATAATTTGTTGCATTTGGAATAACTGTAATTCTACTAGTTGGAATGAAATCAACTTTTTGTTTTTCTATTTCTTCATTTTCATAGCCACCAGAAACATAATAATTGTCGTAGAAACTCATTGCTAACCGACCTTGTTCGTCTCTGACACTGTACTGTATATTGTAACTACCGCCTTAGAACAAATATGGAACATGAGAAAGTGTTAAAAAAGAAACACATCAATCATTTCAGGAATTGCAATTCTTTTTAGGCATAGCCTAAACTGTGAGTAAAAGGAAAGTTGTTATGTAATCACTTGATCATCACTTTTTCGAAAAGTAAAGAAACAGTTCTCTGTTAATCATTGGTGTCTTCTCAAGGCAACTAATCTACGACAAAAATTCTAGATTGATCGTATGCATTGTTATGTATAAAACGTTTACGTTCTAATATGTATTGCCTCGTTTATCATAAAATACGCCATGTACTAACACTTGGGAATGAACAAAACCCTGATCACAACTGAAGAACTTTCGAGAAATAGACCAGTTAGTTCGCTTCTGATACATTGTGCATTGAGCACGCCTGGTTTATTAACGTCCACAAGGTGTGTTTCGTGACATATATCTATACAATGAAGGTAGGAATTCAAGCCTGACTCAGATATATGCGAACCAAAGTAACTTTTTGTGCAGTAGTACTGCTTGCGAATTTTAAACTGAAAAATGTTCAGTACACATAAATTCTGAACGTAAGAGACTATCAGATGATACGAACACTCATAGCTTCATAAACTAGTTTAATTGGTCTGCTTGAAAATACATTGGTATATTAATTAAAACTCTAATGAATT